GTGCCCCCGGGGCCCCCGCCGTGGGCCTGGCATCTCCACACACCGTGTGACTTCTGCTCAGGCCCTTCTCCCCTGACTGTGTCACTCCTCCTCTCCCCCATCAGTATCATTTGTTGTTTGTTGGGGGTATCACAGCTCCGGGCAGGGGAAACAGCCTGTCTCTCCAAACAGAATGAAGGCACCCAGATACACACGCGCGCACACACACACACCCCAACAATGAAGAGCCTTTAGTGCCTAATTAATGCAGAACAAAAGGGAGCAGCCTGTTGACGGCAGCCACCTCCATCCCTAGCTGTTCTGTGCCTCCCAAGGCCAGGAAGCACCTAGCCCACTGCTCCAAGCCACCCCGCCTGCGCCTGCGTTTGGCCTGCGTTCGGCCTGCGTTCCTCTCCAGACCGGTCTCCGACTCCCAGCCCGTCTTGGTTCTCATATGACCATTAGTCACCAAACCCTGCAGCATTTGATAGATGCTCTTCCCTACCTACCTGCCCCTCCTCTGCACAGGGCGCCTCTGGCCTGGTCCGTTCCAGACCCATCACCTCCTGTCCCCTCTTCCTCTGCTAGCAAGGTTACCTCCAGGCTCAGGATATTTGCTCCATCAGTCAAAGTCTCTCCCTTTGTGTTCCTTGGAGCACCTCACTCTCCTCCTCAGCCCTTCCCTGGCGCCTCACGTTTCAACTCCAAGCCGAAAACCTGGTCATTGTCATTCCACTGCCTGGGGCACCCGTCTCCACCTAGCTCTCATCTCCTTAAACACATCTTCATCTGTGAAGTCCTCCTTGCTCCGGTTAGAGCTGGCCACTGCCTCCCCTGTGCCCAAAGTCCTTTGTCCCTAGCCCTCCAAGCACTACCTCTCCTTGCGCAGTAAGCCATTCCGTACTTGTCTGCCAGGTCGCCGGGCTTCGTCATGTGGACAGTGTCAGGCTCTTCGCCGTATGACTGAGGGTTTCAAAGCCACCTTCGCCTCCTCGTCTCCGCTGAAACACCCCCCCCCTCCCCAGTTGTACACGTCCACAGTCTAGGCCTTAGAAGAGGCTTTTGAAATTCAAGAAATTAATCTACCTACCAGAGCTTGAATGTTCCCTTCAAGAACCAGATGCCCCCCACTCCCACAACCCTCACTTCCTCCACTCGCCAGAGCTTTCTTCACTCAGGGGACCCCAAGAACACCTCCCCGCTTCCCCACTCTGATCACGTTTCTACCTGAAGCCATCGTTTTCACTCATGGGTATTCTTGTCACACCTGCAAGAGTATTTGGAGGACTGTTTCCTATTTATGATCTGTCTTTGCTGGGGCTCAAGTTGGTTGGGGGGAGGAGTTAGAATTAGGCCAGAAGGGACCTAAAACCCACTCAGTCTGAGCTCAGCCCCCGGCGTCCCCAGGCAAAGGCCCCAGCCTCATTCCTTTCTGTCAGGGGAGGCTTATGGCGCTCTGCGTTCAGGTGGCCTCTGCTGGGTGCCTGTGTCGACCCGAGGTCCAGTGAGCGCGCAGCAGACTGCAAACCCTGCCCGTGCCACTGCACCCCGGCCACAGCGTCTGCACTGGATTCCAGTCACCAGACCTCTGTGCCAGGAATCCCAGACTTTTTGGGTCCCAATATTCTCCTCCCCTCTTAAAGGGCCATCCTTCATCTGCATGTGTAGGGAGACAGGAGGCAGGAGCTGGGAGGGGAGGCCCTGGAGGAGGCAGTGGGAGAGAGGGAGCATCGAGGCGTGGTCCACACTTTCATGCCACCTTCCCTTCATATTGCATTCGCCTGCATGTTCACTCCATCTCTTCCAGAATCCTTCTCATCTTCAAAGCCCTCCTCTGGTGGCTTCCCTGAGTGCTTCATTAGACACCTGTCTTGTTCTCCTCAGAGCCCCAGTAGCACTTGGCCTGCTCTGACGGCAATGGCCGGGTATTCTGCTATGTAGCATAGTATTTAGGGATGCATTTGTCACGTGCACCAAAAGCCCCCAGAGATAGCAAGGATGTCGTGCTCACTTTGAATTCCTTGGGGTGCCTTTATTATAATAAATGAATGTGTTTGGGGTCTAGTCTCAGCTCTGCCTCCAGTGAGGTACGTGGCCTCCTAAGTCCTCTCCCTCTCCGAGCCTCAGCCTTGAAATTTGCTTAATAAAATGTTCGACTAGGCCCTCCGTAAGGTGCTGTTGAGCTGTGAAATGCTATGGCTCCTTCTATGGAGGGGAAGAGAGGGGCGGGCGCGGGTCCGCACTCTTCACTTGGTCCCATATCCCGTGGGCCCTCTGTCCAGATGGCTCCCGGGTACTACCAGAACAGCATGGGGGCCTGAGGACCTGGGAGTGAGCAGGTGGCCTGTGGACCAGGCCCCAGATTGATCCGTATTGCCTGCCTCAGTCTCTTCACAGAGTCCACAGAACCCCTCCCCGAAGAGCCCAAACCTGTGGAGATGGCCTTTCACCACTGCCACAGGGACCCCCTGCCACAGCCGGGCCTCACCCCTGAGAGGCTGCAGGCACGGAGGCAGCTGTACGCCGCCTGTGCTGTGTGCTTCGTCTTCATGGCCGGGGAGGTGGTCGGTAAGTCGAGGGCAAGTCCTCTAACCTACACCTTCCTGACACCTGCCTGAGCCACTGTCCATCCAGAACCAGAATGCTTCTGGTGGAGGCGCAGAGAGGATGGGGACAGCTAGAAATGGGCCTGTGTTAACTGCTTTTTTGACTTTTTTTTTTTTTTTTTTTTTTGCCACAGGGCATGTGTATTCACTGGAGAGAGATGGAGAGAGAGAGAAAGTGAGAAATCACCCCCCAGCGAGGATGGCTGCACTGCAGTCCCTTCTCCTCCATTCTCTTCTTGGGATTTTGGGCATGCACACACAGGTACCAGCACGTTTTTCAAGGTGTGAAGTCTGAGATTTGAACTGCAGAGTTGGCCATGTGGGATGCAGTTCCTTAACCACCGTGTCACCTGCTGGTTCAAGTCGTAAAAACTCTATCCTGGGGGCCAGCAGGTGGTGTAGTGGTTAAGGTGCTAGACTCCCACGTGTTGTTCCATGGTTCAAGTCCTGGACCTGCAGCTTGAAAAACATACCAATGCTCGTGTGTGCATGCCCAAAGTCCCAAGAGGAGAATGGAGGAGAAAGGATTGCAGCGTGGCCAAGCCCCCCAGGGGCTGATTTCTTGCTTTGTCTCTTGGTGGGTACCCATGCCCTGTAAGAAACATCTCTATTAAAACAAAAACAAAAACAAAAACAATCTCTATCTTAGGCCAGCCTGGTGGTTAAGGGAGCTGGATCCCACCTGACCAACTACACAGTTGGAGTCCTGGACCCAGCAGTTTGAAAAATATGCTGGGTGCATGCCTCCCCAAAATAATGGAAGAGAAGTGATTGCAATGTGACCCTGCACCACAGAGGGTACCTTCTCCCTCTCTCACTCTGTCTCTGGCAAGTCACATGCCCTCTGGAAAATTAAAGACCAAAAAAGTCCTTACTGTAAATAATATAAAATACGTTGTAGAAAAACTAGGAAGTGTGCTGAGAAAAATAATAAATAGAAGAAAATGGGGGACCAGCAGGTGGCATGGTGGTTAGGGTGCTGGACACTCCCATATGGTCAATCACAGTTTGAGTCCTAGACCTGGTGGCTTGCTTTCTCACTTTCTGTGTGTGTGTGTGTGTGTGTGTGTGTGCACACGCGAGCACCCGCGTGTGTGTCTTGCTCTGGTCAAATGAAAAAATAAATGAATGAATAAGTAAAATTTTAAAAATAACTTTTTCTTTTTTAAAAAAGGAGAAAATAGGGACCAGCAGTTAGCGTAATGGCTATGTCACTGGCCTCCCATGTAGTTGACCGCAGTTCAAGTCCCGGACCCAGTGGCTTAAACTCACAATGGGCGCGTGTGCGTGCGTGCCCAAGATCCTGAGAGGAGCATGGAGGAGAAGGGATTGCGGCGTGGCCATCCCCCCTGGGGGGTGATTTCTCGCTTTCTGTCTCTCTGTCTCTCTCTGTCTTTCTGGCGAGCTCACAAGCCCTATAACCAAAACCTCTCAAAAAAAAAAAAAAAAAAAGGAGAAAATAAAACCTACCAGGTCATCCTGTGGCCTGGTGCTAGGGTGGCTGAATCCCATATGCCCGGTCATGAGGTTCAAGTCCCAGACTTGGTGACTTGAAAAGCATGCCAGGCACAAGTGGATATGCCCAAAATCCTGAAAGGAGGGAGAGATGGAGGAGAAAGGATTGTAGCATGCCCGTTTCCCCTCTTCCCATCTCTGTCTCTCTCTCTCCCTCTGGTGAATGCATGTGCTCTCTGGCAAATTTTAGAAAATTACAACTACCCATAATTGCATCACCTGAGAAAACCACCTTTGGCGTCTACCTCACAGTTCATTTTCCTTGCCTGTGCACACACCACGTGGCGTTTTCTGTGTGGAGTCAGACCGCACCTCGTTGTGCCCTGCAGGGGGGTACTTGGCGCACAGCCTGGCCATTATGACCGACGCGGCCCACTTGCTGGCGGACGTGGGCAGCATGATGGGCAGCCTCTTCTCCCTTTGGCTCTCTACCCGTCCAGCCACCCGCACCATGACCTTTGGCTGGCACCGCTCAGGTAAGGCCCCTACATGCCCCGGTGACCCTCCGGGCTTGCCAGAGGACACCTATCAGGGTTCTGAGTAGGTCTCTGATGGCTTGTCTCTTCCTGCAGAGACTCTGGGGGCTCTGGCCTCCGTGGTCTCCCTCTGGATGGTCACTGGCATCCTCCTGTACCTGGCCTTCATCCGCCTGCTGCACAGCGACTACCACATCGAGGGGGGTGCCATGCTGCTGACCGCCAGCATCGCGGTCTGTGCCAATCTGCTGTACGTGCTGGTGTGGAGAGGCACCGTGTGGGCGAGGGGCGAGGGGCGAGGGGTCTTTCCCCAGGATGGGAGAGCTGGCTCCCCGCTCCCCCAAAACAGACATGTACTCGGTTCCCAACTGTCTGCCTGGGTGTGTGAGAAGCGATAGATCCCCGCGATAGATCGCCACGATAGAGACCTCAAATTCAGAGCCGACGTGTCTGTCAAGGGCTGTTGTGTACCAGCCGATTTGGGGGGGCGTTCACAGTATATCTCATTTAAGCCTCACAGCCACCCCACGACCACACTTCCTAGAGGCAGGTAGTGTCACCGCTAGGTCACCATTAATGAGACAGGCCCAGCAGGTGGCTTGCTTAAGTCACACAGCTATTTAATAGCGGGGCCAGGATCTGGGTCCACGTCTCGGGTACCGGATCCAGGCTGCATGTTTGCCTCTTTTAGACAATGGTATTTTCTTATGGGGCTGGGGAAGCAGGAGGAAAGGACTGTGGGGCGGTAAGAGAGGAGGCGGGGACAGAAGAGGCCGTGCTGAGCTGCTCTGCTTCCCCCCCAGAATGGCCTTTGTGCTGCACCATCCTGGGCCCCCCCACAGCCACGGGTCTAGGGGGGCAGAGTATGCACCCCTGGAGCAGGGGCCCGGGGAGCCCCTGCCTTTGGGGAATACCAGCGTCCGGGCAGCCTTTGTGCATGTGCTGGGGGACCTCCTGCAGAGCCTTGGGGTGCTGGCTGCCTCCATCCTCATCTACTTCAAGGTACTGTTCCTGGAGGCCTGCCCAGCCTTGCTTCATGTCCCAGCCCCTCCTCCCCAGGACCCCGAGCCTCCCTCCCCCTCTCACCCCTCCCAGCTCCCTGGGACTCTCCCGGCCCTGAGGCATGTTCCCTTCCCCTTCACAGGGCTCTCGGGCTCTCAGGACACTCTCTCTGAAATGTCCAAGGGTCCCTGGCTTAGGGGTCTCTTTCTGTACAGCCTCAGTACAAGGCAGCCGACCCCATCAGCACCTTCCTGTTCTCTATCTGTGCCCTTGGATCCACGGCTCCCACCCTCCGAGATGTTCTTCGCATCCTCATGGAAGGTGAGAAAGGCGCCACCACTCCCTACCCCTGGGGCCCCCTCTGACCCCACTCTAGCACTGGGCTGCCTCTCTTTTCTCTGAAGATAGAGTGGGGAGAAGGCTGGGTCAAGGGGCCTATTGCTGAAAGGAAGATTTGGACACAGGGTGGGTTGTGGGGTCAACAGGGTGACAGACACAGAGTGGGGAGAAAGGGGTCTGGCAGGCTGCTCTGGCAGGAGCGGCCCAGGCAGTAAGCATGGCAGTGCTGGTTGCAGGTACTCCCCGCAGCGTGGGATTCGAACCTGTGCGGGATACGCTGTTGGCAGTGCCAGGAGTCCGGGCAACCCACGAGCTGCACCTGTGGGCCCTCACACTCACGTACCACGTTGCCTCTGCACACCTGGCCATTGGTGAGTCCACACTGGCTCAGCCAGAAACCTGGGAATGCCCTCGCCTCCCCCAACATGGGCAATAGTCCAGAGTCACCAGGACGTTTCAATCTGTCTGTTTCTTTCTCGCACTCACCCACATACACGTGTGCACATGTTGGAGACAAAGAGGTATGGTGGCGGGGGTGACTGGATCCCTGGCCAACTGTGTGGCTTGGGTTCCTGTCCTCCAGCCTGGAAAACACGCTGGCCACAGTGTGTGTGCCCCAAATCCAGAGAGAATAGAGAAGGGGTTGTGGTTTTCCCTCTCTCTGTGTGTCTGGTGAACTCATGCACCCTATAGCAAATAAACAAAGAGAAAAAAAAGAAAGGAGGCATGAACTTGGGGGAGATTGCATCCTCTCTGAAGTGGCCCAGGGAGCCATCAATCGTTCAAAGATAATGAGCACCTACAGGTCTCGTGTCAGGCAGATGACGGCCCCTCCACTCAGTGGGTCCTTTAATTTTTTTTTTTTTTTTTTTTACCAGAGGATGTGTAAACTCACCAGAGAGAAAGATGAAGTGAGAAAACACCTTTGGGGGAACTGTCACACCATAATCCCTTCTCTTCTATTTCTCACTTCTTTCAGGACTTTGGGCATGCATGCACAGGTGCCCAGCATGTTTCTCAAATCACTGGATCTGGGACTCAAACTGTACAATTCGCCATGTGGTCCAGCCGCCCTAACCATCATGCCACTGGCTGGGCCCCAAACA